TCTTGCGCTTGCGCGACTTATTCCTAAGGTCTTTGTACTCATTCTATAGGCCATACATTAGCATACTTAAAAACCACATGGCTCACAGAAAGGCCAAATATTCTTTAGTTTGGCAGAGGTTTTCCAGACCTTACGGATATGTCTGTTCAGTTCATTCCTCGTTTTCTTTTCATTAACGTAAACATGTTGATAAAAAGGAATAATAGAAGCGAATACAAACCCGTTCGTATAGGAAGATATGTGCTAAGTCTTGCGAAGGAAATAAATAAAGAAGAGATGTTGTCATAGTATGCCATTTTTAGTGACTAGTTTGTCGTTTTTTGCTCCGTTTTGTTGGTAGGACTCATTAATAATGATCATTCTTTGACTTTTTCTACTTTGTACTTCTTGAACGAATTTTTTGGTGGACGGGGGGGGGTAGCAGGGCTTTTTTATGAACAGTTTTGGGGAGAATTAAACAACCTTTTCATAGTTCGGCTTTTGAAGAGGGTCGTTTCATGGACTTCGGCCTCTGGGGGGGAGGGGGGTCGTATTTCCAAATTTTCCTCGACGGTTCGCTTGACCCTGCTTCTAATATGCTCCAATATATTTTTCAGTGATCCTATAGTTCGGAAAACAAAAAGAGCGTCGAGTGCAGACTACACAGCACAAGTGACGGTCAAGAAAAAAGTGGCACTTGATCACTGACGAGGAAATTAATTATAATTGATTGCAGGTAGCCTACTAACCATCTGCCTAAATCGACTTCGTTCGACTTCAACTTCTACAGGTAGGATATTTATATCAACATTTAACATGGCTTTCACTCTTTTTCAAAGATTTCGTTACTACCATCAAACGTTGTCGTGGTGCATTTCACAGAAACAGTGTGATTGCGACCAAAACCAAATGGGAGAATGCTGGTACGTAACTAGTAAGTAAAAAGGGAATTATGCAGGGAAGATGGAAAAAAGCAAAAGATCAGAAAGGTACTTGTCGAATAACTCGCCAGAGACCGAAAATTGCGACCACATGCTTCAAGACGGTATCGAGGAGTACCATTGACAGCAACAAGGGTACATTAAGGGCACTGCTTAAGAGGGTCAGGCAAAAAAAAGCTTAAGGAACACGAAAGCGGTAGGTAGTGGTTTTCTGGCTATGATACAGCGCATCTATGCGTGCATCAAGTAAATATAATAAACAAATCGCATCTTAGAAGGTGTCATGCGTCTGACTCAGCCGGAGTCGTGAACGCACTTAGGGTCTTTTGATCCGCATGAAACTATTAGGTTGGTCCATAAGTCTTGCAACAAACTGACTGAATTTTGATTTTAATATTTTCATTATCGAGTTGTGCTATTCATCAGTGATACACACCATCAATATCTACAGGGTGTCCCAAAATTATGGGCGCCTACACACAGCAATATATTTCAAGCTTCTAAACGGACGATGCTGACTGAATTTACACATAAGGTAAATTGCATCATCCCCAACAATGTGGAACAACTAGATATCGAAATACTCTCCAACGCGACTAATGCAAGCTCGAAGTCGCTTCTTAGGCTTCGCGCACGTTGCACGCAGGAATTCCTCGTCTATTTCTTCTCAGGCTTCCTTCAATGTTCCTTCCAGTGACTCGAACTGTGACGAAGAACTTGACACACCTTACTTTCGCTCAACGACCACACTAAGAGGTGAGGTGGGCGCGAACCTGGTGAAAATGACGGCCGTTCCTCGGTGCCAGCAAAGTCGGGCAACTGAACTCGGCACCACACTTGGAGGAACTTGGCCATGTAGGCCTGAGCACTTTTCTGCTGGAAACAACTCGGGTTATTTCCAAGGTAGGACTCGTGCCGAGCCTTCATTACGTTCACCTCAAGTGTCCGGATTTGCTGATGAACTTACCGAAATCAAAGGAAAACTAACGGCCCCTTACCACTGGACGTGGTGTTCCTTTAAACCGAAATTGAGACCAAGTTCGGTGATTTGCAAACAATCTTTTAGCGTGGAGTAGCACTCCTGACATTTCTGCCCGGAATGCAATCTTTCTGGCTATTGCCAATCCGCTCTGCTATGGAAATTTTTTCCTCATAAGAAAGGGTGGTACGGTGCGTGTCCATCACCGAGGCGGGTGAGCAACCTTCTGCAATCTTTGACCCTCTGTTGCTTGTTGATATCGAAAATGAGCTGACGCTCCTGCGCATGGTAGGAACGGCTATGTAGTTCTTCATTTACTACCTTTCCTATCGATGACTTCGATTCTTCCAGCTCCTCCGTCATTCTTCTGAAGGAGCGTCGTGGGTCGCGGTCAATTTGAGAATGGAATCTTTCAGACACCCTTCCGGCAGAACGGCCAGCATTTCTACCTCTATTAGGCCTATGCATAATGGACGCTGTTTCCTAGTATCGTAGGATAACCTTACGCACAACCCTTGTGGAAAATACAGAATGT